AGTTAACCTGAATAGAGCATTCCTGTTATAACCTTCATCTAGTTTAGGCTGATTGGGTACCTGTCTACTTTCCTGGGAGAATATACTTAGATGCTGTACTTCGTCTGGAGAAACATTCGAATCAACACCCTAACTGCAAGCTATAGTCACTCAGGCTCTAGCAGTTTGGGAGAAAATAGGCAAACGGGTACCTGCAATACCAGTGTTCGTTACAACCTCCTCCCTAAAACTAGTTTTACAGAATCAGGTCAAAACTCTTCTTTCATGACCTGAGCTCTCTGATCCTGTGCTGGTGTTAATCTCATTGAGTACTTTAATAAAGCAGTACATGCACATAGTGCCATCTATAGAGACCCATGGAAACTAGAGAATTGACATTTACTCTGCAAAAACAGTGCTAGAAGTACATACAGAAGGAGAGGTTTTCAAGCGAGCGAGTTCACAGACCTTGTAACAGGACTTCACCAGCACCAAAGCCCTGTGGACTAAAACAGTGAAAATGGCGAAATTATTGCAAGGGAATACCATTACTGGAGAATACAGCCGTTCGCATGATTTCAGACGAATTCTTTGTGTTAAGTATGGAGGGCCACCATTTCGGCACTTTACACGTGGCCGCGGCCATTTTACGTGCGAACAGCGGTGGTTGCCCGTCGACGCGTGGAACTAAAATCGGATACGCAAACAGGCGAACACCGCTGAGACCTCCATACAACCAGAACTTCGCACGGAAACTACCGAATCACGGGCCATTCGGTAGTTTCACTTAATCAGCTATGGGGAATCCAGCGAACTCAGAGATAGTTGTGGATGGCAAGAATTTCGTCTGTTTTAACCGGCGAACAGAGACCGACTGCAGGGCCAAAACTTGTGGAACTCTTTTCGGCTAGAAAATCCGTGCAGTCGGTCAAAACTTCAAACCTCCATAACTCCTGAACCCCATAACCGAATGGGCTGAAATTTCGACAGATAATTCCCCTAACCAAGACCTTTCAAGCGGTACTGGACTTAAAGGTGTAACCCCTGTTTTTGGGGAACATCCAGAACTAGGGTGAAAAATGGTACGTTATAATTATGTTATGTGTTTATCTGAGGGGAGGAGACGTGGGGGTGTTACCCTGTGTGTAATTGGTTATTTTCATCCTCCCCCTGGGAGTGTCCTGTGTGTACTTGTTCCTAATAAAAAGCAGGCTGGGTTTCCCAGACCTCAGATCTTCTTGACCCTGCAAAACGTAGCCTTGTCTCGTTCTTGGAAGGGGATTATTTGGGAATGTTATTCTGCTCCTGTTACAGCTGAACCTGACTTTTACTCTGGATATCGTGAATGGGATTATACCAGCTTACTTCTCCACAGCAGCTTGCAGGGAAAAAGGACGTCTCCAACGGCCGATACCCTCTCACTACCAGGGTAGCCGTTACATTGGTGGCAGCGGTGGGATGGTCCTTTTATCCAACAAACAAGCACTGAATGGAGTCACAGTATGCGAAGCTGAAAAGACCCACACTAAAGGATCTTTTGGAGAATCGTGGTAGGAGTGCCAGCAACAGACCACGGAGGGAGCTGATAGCTGACCTGCTGGAGCTGGACGAGATGGACAGGTCCATGGAGGTAACTGAACCCATGGCACCCATCAGTGAGGACGATGTGATTACTGCAATTGTGCAGCGGAGATTAGCTTTGTATCCAGTCACGTCTACAGAACTAATAACCCAACTGTTCCGGGAAGCAAGGGAAGAAATACAAACCAAGAGGGAACAAGAAACGGAACTGGTAAGAGCCCGACAGCTCACTACCCAGACAGTTCCTACCCCGCTACCCACTACTACGGTAAAGAAAATTCCCTTTACTGCATTTAAAGCCTTTGTAGAAAATGACGAGGAAATTGATGGGTATTTGGCTGACTTTGAAAGGCAGTGCTCACTACATCACATACCGCCAGAACAATGGGTCACGATCCTGGCAGGAAAACTGTCAGGGAAAGCTAATGAGGCTTTCCGAGCACTCACTACAGAGGAAATCACGCAGTACCAAAAAGTAAAAGAGGCACTGCTCACCAGGTATGCGGTAACCCCAGAAGCATACCGTCGTCGCTTCCGGGAGTCCAAAAAGAAAGCTGTGGACTCCCACATGGAATGGGCAAACCGACTACAGAGAGTAGCATCTCACTGGGTCCAAGGGTGCAAAGCCCACACGGGTGAGGAGGTGTTACAGTTGTTCTTAATGGAACATTTCTTCCAAGATTTGGCTGCGGACATACAAGACTGGGTACGAGATCAGCGCCCCGCCAATTTAAAGGAGGCGGCTCGGCTGGCCGAGACAAGGAAAGTAAGCCAGGGTACTACACGACAAGCTCATAAAATAGAGCCACGTGCCCCAGCCGCTGTCTCACGCCCAGAATTTCGAGCTCCAGTCCCACCAGGACCACCCTGTCCTCAGGGGCCTACTAACTACCCCCGGGATTTGTCCAAGGTGACGTGCCATCACTGCAGCAACCTCGGACATATTGCCCGGTATTGTCCCCTAAGATCCAGTAACAACAACTGGAGGCGTACAACGCCCAGCCCAGAGGCCCCTGCAGCACGACCCGCTGCGGCTCACTGTCTGGAAGCCGAAATGGGCCCTGAAGAATGTCTGGGGATTTTGTATGAAGCAGACCCCATACAAGCGGCTTCCCCAGACAATCGACAACATCACCGACAGGAGGTTAAGGTGAATGGACAAACAGCACAAGGCCTAAGAGACACCGGGGCTACCATCACTTTGATCCAAAAACACCTAGTGAAGCCGGAGGATGTGTCTACCCGCACTGTTGCTGTTCGGGTCGCAGGGGGCGCTGTTTTTCGCTTGCCCACTGCCCGAGTACACTTAGATTGGGGAGTTGGATCAGGATAAACCACCGTCGGCATTATGGACAACTTGCCTGCCGAGGTCGTATTGGTAAATGACATTGGACCTTTAACTTCAGCATATTTGCCCACACCTGCTGCCGCCTGTCCCGTAACCACCCGTTCACAGTCCCGTGTCGCAGATGATCCTAATACAGGCCGGGAGACCCAGGTAAGCCAAGCACCCACATGTCACCCCACTACGATAAGCAGGCCCATAGCTTGGGACACCCCAGAGGAGTTTGGGAGGGAAACTAGAGAGGACCCCACCCTCCAAAAGTATCGGGAATTAGCTGACAGTGGGGGGGACGGACGGGAAAGTTTTCTATGGGATGGGGACAGGCTATACAGACTGGCTGAAGGCAGAAAGAGAGGCTGTGCCCCTTCGCAGAAGCGCCAACTGGTGGTACCCAAAAAGTACCGGTTGGAACTTCTCCGAATTGGCCACGACATTCCGTTGGCAGGACATCTAGGGGGTAACCGCACCACCTTCAGGATCACCCAGACCTTCTTTTGGCCGGGGATCTCGAAGGATGTGCGACGTTACTGCAGTACTTGTGACGTATGCCAACGGGTAGGGAAGAGAGGGGATCACCCTAAAGCTCGACTGTTACCTATGCCTGTGATCGAGGAACCATTTAGCAGGGTAGCAGTCGACCTAGTGGGACCCCTACCTAACCCCAGTCCCTCTGGTAAGAAATACATCCTTACCGTGGTGGACTATGCTACTCGCTACCCCGAAGCCGTCGCTCTGACGAATATCCAGGCTGACACTGTCGCCAGTGCTTTAGTCGGGATATTCACCCGAGTGGGATTCCCCCAGGAAATCCTGTCCGACAGAGGGACCCAGTTTACCGCAGACCTAACCCAACAGCTGTGGAAGGTCTGTGGTATTAAGTCCCTGCTTAGTTCCCCGTACCACCCACAGACTAACGGTCTCTGTGAACGCTTTAACGGTACCCTAAAGCAATTGCTGGGGACCTTTACAGCGGAATACAGAGACTGGGAACGATTCTTGCCGCACCTCCTGTTCGCTTATCGGGAGGTGCCGCAGGAATCCACAGGGTTCTCTCCCTTTGAACTGCTCTATGGCCGGAGAGTACGAGGACCTCTCGACCTCATCCGGGAGCACTGGGAGGGGGAGACAGAACACGACGGTGTACCCATCGTGCCATACGTATTAGAAATGCGGGACCGTATGGAGCAGTTAGCCCGGATGGCACGGGACCACCTCCATGCGGCCCAAGGGCACCAGAAACGTTGGTACGATCAGGGCACCCGCCAGAGAACATTCCAAGTAGGCCAGAAGGTGCTGGTACTTAGACCTGTCAAAGGGAATAAGCTCCAGACCTCCTGGCAGGGCCCTTACAAAGTGGTAGCACAAGTCTGTGACACCACCTACGTAATCGCCAGCAACAAAGATGAAAGGATCCGGAAGTCCTTTCATGTAAATCTACTAAAGGAATATCAGGAAAGACCCGAGGATATAGCCGCCATATGCATACCCGCTACCGAAGACCCTGACAGCTTACCCATACCCGACCTATTAGCTAACCCAGAACCTAAAACCCTCCTCAATACCGTACAGCTAGGGGAGCGGTTAACCCCCGCCGAAAAGGGACAGATCCGACAGCTGCTGACTGAGAAAGGGTTGACGTTTTCCCAAGAGCCCGGGTACACCCCCTTAGCAACCCACTATGTAGAGACCCCAGGACAAACCCCACTCCGACAAACCCCCTATAGGATCCCTGAGGCAGTAAAAGAGGAGATGAGGAAGGAGATCCAAGAAATGTTAAGACTGGGGGTGATAGAGCCCTCGGACAGTCCGTGGGCCTCCCCGGTGGTTCTAGTTCCCAAGAAGGACGGAACCACTCGGTTCTGTGTCGATTATCGGCGTCTCAATGACCGAACCGTGACAGACGCCTACCCCATGCCCCGAGTAGACGAGCTATTAGATCGCATTGCCAGGGGGCGTTATCTGACCACCATCGATTTGTGCAAAGGATATTGGCAGATCCCCCTGGACAAGGAGGCTATCCCTAAGTCGGCCTTTGTCACCCCATTTGGCTTGTACCAGTTCAAAGTCATGCCATTTGGGATGAAAAATGCCCCGGCTACATTCCAGCGCTTAGTGGACCGCCTCCTTGATGGCTTCCAGGATTTCGCTTGCGCGTACCTGGATGACATTGCGATCTATAGCGAAACCTGGGGGGAGCATTTAAAGCATGTCGAAGCCGTACTGGATCAGATTCGAGCCGCGGGCTTGACTCTGAAACCAGAGAAGTGTAACTTCGGCATGGCCGAAGTCCAGTACCTGGGACACCGGGTGGGATGTGGGAAGCAGCGCCCAGAACCCGCTAAAGTTGAAGCGGTAGCTAACTGGCCCACACCCCACACCAAAACTCAGGTCTTAGCATTTTTGGGGACGGCAGGATATTATAGGAGGTTTGTCCCAGACTATAGCGCCATCGCAAAACCCTTGACAGACCTAACCAAAAAGAACTTGCCTAGGATAGTCCTGTGGTCTCCCGCCTGTGAAACCGCCTTTCAAGCCCTAAAGAATGCTCTAATCCATGCACCTGTCCTGTCTGCCCCCGCCCCTAACAAAAGATTTGTCGTCCATACAGATGCATCCATGTATGGACTGGGGGCAGTTCTAAGCCAGGTCGGTGAAGATGGAAGCGAGCACCCTGTCTCGTATCTCAGTAGAAAACTGTTACCTAGGGAAGTGAGTTACGCGGCAGTGGAAAAGGAATGCTTGGCCCTAGTCTGGGCACTAAAGAAACTCACCCCATATTTGTACGGGCAGGAATTTACTCTAATCACCGACCATAACCCTCTGGTATGGCTGAATAGAGTAGCTGGAGACAATGGGCGTTTATTAAGATGGAGCCTCGCACTGCAACCCTATAACTTCTCTATCCAATACCGCCCTGGCAAATTTAATGGAAATGCCGATGGTCTGTCCAGACAAACAGAACTATTACCCTAACAATGGACCGGACAGCCCCAAGTTGACCCGAAAAGGATCAATCCGGGTCTGCCGGGGTGTTCCACAAAAGGGGAGCAGTGTAACAGGACTTCACCAGCACCAAAGCCCTGTGGACTAAAACAGTGAAAATGGCGAAATTATTGCAAGGGAATACCATTACTGGAGAATACAGCCGTTCGCATGATTTCAGACGAATTCTTTGTGTTAAGTATGGAGGGCCGCCATTTCGGCACTTTACACGTGGCCGCGGCCATTTTACGTGCGAACAGCGGTGGTTGCCCGTCGACGCGTGGAACTAAAATCGGATACGCAAACAGGCGAACACCGCTGAGACCTCCATACAACCAGAACTTCGCACGGAAACTACCGAATCACGGGCCATTCGGTAGTTTCACTTAATCAGCTATGGGGAATCCAGCGAACTCAGAGATAGTTGTGGATGGCAAGAATTTTGTCTGTTTTAACCGGCAAACAGAGACTGACTGCAGGGCCAAAACTTGTGGAACTCTTTTCGGCTAGAAAATCCGTGCAGTCGGTCAAAACTTCAAACCTCCATAACTCCCGAACCCCATAACCGAATGGGCTGAAATTTCGACAGATAATTCCCCTAACCAAGACCTTTCAAGCGGTACTGGACTTAAAGGTGTACCCCCTGTTTTTGGGGTACATCCAGAACTAGGGTGAAAAATGGTACGTTATAATTATGTTATGTGTTTATCTGAGGGGAGGAGACGTGGGGGTGTTACCCTGTGTGTAATTGGGTATTTTCATCCTCCCCCTGGGAGTGTCCTGTGTGTACTTGTTCCTAATAAAAAGCAGGCTGGTTATCCCAGACCTCAGATCTTCTTGACCCTGCAAAACGTAGCCTTGTCTCGTTCTTGGAAGGGGATTATTTGGGAATGTTATTCTGCTCCTGTTACAGCTGAACCTGACTCTTACTCTGGATATCGTGAATGGGATTATACCAGCTTACTTCTCCACAGCAGCTTGCAAGGGAAAAAGGACGTCTCCAACGGCCGATACCCTCTCTCTACCAGGGTAGCCGTTACAGACCTCATCCCATGTGACATTAGCAGTTGGGATAGAACAACACAAGCTTTAAAGTAATGCTCTTATATTGTACTCTAAGGAGATTTACCAATAAAAATTAATTAGTGTAGCACTGAAAAGAAGGAGATTAATGTAATCCAAAATAGCTGAACTGGAATCTCTCATTCAAGCTGTGGATGTTTAGTAAATGAACCCTAGAAAATCAAACCTGAACAGACGATTTATTTTATCCACAAACGTCTAGAAAATCAAACCTGAACAGGCGATTTATTTTATCCATTACTGTTTGTAATAAAGCAAACATTTTGTGTCTCAAAATAAATAATAAAACAAAAAAGTAAAATTTAATTTGTTAAAACACTCCCTTTGTCATTTACAAATAGATATATAAGAACAGCCGTGTTAATAATAAGAGGATTATCAAAAACTGAATGAAGGTCCAATGCAATATGAGACAGTGGTGGAATTTTTTTTATTTTGCTAAAATAGGAGATTGTTAATTCATTAAACTGTAAAAAAAAAAAATGGTTTTATAAAAAAAGAAAAATAACAATCTTTGTTTAAAATCATCAGTTTATCCCTTCTAGCACCACACAGGTAAACAAACAGAATACAACAATGGCTGTTGCCTAATACTGGCTCTGGCCCATCTCCCATAATGCCCAGCCAGCCATTACGATCAACTTCTGGGCTGGCTAAATGTGATAGGAATTGCTACAATGCTGCAATTCAGGCTTTAGATGGTTCGACATGTCAGGGTGATCAGCAAGATCTTCTAAGAGACGCTGCCCGGCGCTCCAGGAACAGGCAGGTATAAGAAAGTTACAGTTATCTTTATACACAAATCAAATAAATCTATGCGCCACCTACTGTTCACTTACAAGTAAGACAAACACATTATTATCCATTTTATATTTGTTTACATAAGTAAAGCAGGTATCCCAAAACATGACAATTCAGAGCATACAATTAAATAAATACGGCCAAAATCCAGTTTCTTATGTCTTAAAAATAAAGTTCTACAATGCTTATTGTTTTCTAACTGTATCTAGTGCAGGTTTCTATTAACTAAACAGTGACTTGCGGTTATTTTTCAACCAATCAAGATTAAGACTAAAATAGCTGAATCCGATGATTATTTTCAGCGTAAATTTCATTATTCACAGATATAACTATGTAGTACAAAGACTCCATAACAAACTGCATACTCAAGGTGTAGCTATTTATATTCTTAAAATACACCTTCTAACACAGCACTGGACTGTAAAGTGGAGAGTGGAGATGACATTCGCGTGTATATTAATTCAAGTTTAACTTCTTTTCATGAAAGTAAAAACATTTTGGAGTTTGTGAAATACATTTATTAACAACTGAAATTCTGTATTTAACCCTTTAAGGACACATGACATGTGTGACATGTCATGATTCCCTTTTATTCCAGACGTTTGGTCCTTAAGGGGTTAAAGAGACACTTCGCAACCCGTAAAGCACTTCAGTGAAGTTCTTCAGTGATTATTAGGAGGTCCTCATTGTGTCATATTATCAAAGTGATGATTTCAAGAGAACACTATCACACTGACAGTCCAGAGGGTCTCCTCCATCAATCTGCTTGACAAGAGGGAATTAGCTTGGCCTCGTAATCGCAGGCCGCTTTCCTGCAATTAGGGTTTTCACCACTCAGTAACATCTAAGTAATTATTTTTACTTTGGACTCTAATGACAAGCTTGGATCGGATAATGTATGTAAGCGCTGGACAGGAAGGAGAGGGCTTGCAGTTGCTGCAGATAATAGATCTGCAATAACTGTAAACTAGGCTTTCATTAATCCCCAAAGAAAAGGTGAAACAATAATTGCATGCCTGTTTATTTGGAGGTTTATCTGCAACATAGTGATATATACAAAGTTATATCTATTCTTTTTATGTGTAATTATTCTCCAAGGCTTTTTTGTCATTAATTACTAATTCTAATAACATTGAAGGAATTATATATACATATATATCATTTTATGGGTGTATATAAATACACAAACACTCATTGCGTATTGTAAGAAGAGATTGTCCAGTTGCTATTCACTTTCAATTTGGGCCCTACAATATATCTGTGGATGAGTTCAAATTGCGAGAGACCCCATGTGCTCCTCATTTCCGTATTTGCAAATCATCTCTCGTCATTTGATTTATATGTTAAAGTTTTTGGCATTGAAATTTTATCGAGGTTTATTTGTTATGAGAACCAACAAAATATGACTAATTCTGGCCTGGAATTCTTTGTACATTTTATTTTGCTCAGACATGGAAATAATATCTGTTGCTAAATATCTTTTAGTGCCACTATGGATCTGACGAGGAGCACAGAAGAATGAAGCCGTTTTGCGAAAAGTCACCACAAAATGTTTTCTTCTCACTTCATGATTATAATAAAAATACCCAGGGCCACCATCAGTGGGTGACAACCAGAACGGTTGTCACGGGCCCGGCGGCCCTGCTGCGGCCGGGTAATTGCGTGACCGAGCCCCTTTAAAAAATAAAAAATAAAAATTGCGGCTGCACCGCAAATGCTGCTTGGAGGAAGTGATGGCTGGTGTGTGTGTATGTCTGTATGTCTGTGTGTGTGTGTGTGTTTGTCAGTATGTATATTTGTCTGTATGTCTGTGTGTATGTCAGTATGTATATGTGTGTGTATGTCAGTATGCATGTATGTCAGTATGCATGTCTGTGTGTGTGTCAGTATGCATGTATGTCTATGTGTGTGTGTCAGTATGCATGTGTGTGCGTATGTATGTCAGTATGCATGTATGTGTGTGTGTATGTCAGTATGTCTGTATGTGTCTATCTGTATGTGTGTGTGTATGTCAGTATGTATATATGTATGTATGTCTGTGTGTGCTTGTGTGTGTGTGTGTGTGTATGTATATATCTATCAGTATGTATGTCAGTATGCATGTATGTCTGTGTGTATGTCAGTATGTATATATGTCTGTGTGTGTATGTATGCCTGTGTGTGTATGTATGTGTGTATGTATGTCTGTGTGTGTATGTCAGTATGTATATATGTCTCTGTGTATGTATGTCAGTATGTATATGTGTGTGTGTATGTCAGTATGCATGTCTGTGTGTGTGTCAGTATGCTTGTAGGTCTATGTGTGTGTGTCAGTATGTATGTGTGTGCGTATGTATGTCAGTATGCATGTATGTGTGTGTGTGTGTGTATGTCAGTATGTCTGTATGTGTGTGTGTATGTCAGTATGTATATATGTATGTATGTCTGTGTGTGTGTGTGTGTATGTATCTATCTATCAGTATGTATGTCAGTATGCATGTATGTCTGTGTGTATGTCAGTATGTGTGTATGTCAGTATGTAGGTCTGTGTGTATGTCAGTATGTATATATGTCTTTGTGTGTGTATGTATGTCTGTGTGTGTATGTCTGTGTGTGTGTGTATGTCAGTATGTATATATGTCTGTGTGTGTGTATGTCAGTATGTATAGATGTCTGTGTGTGTATGTCATTGTGTGTGTGTGTGTGTGTATGTCAGTATGTATATATGTCTGTGTGTATGTCAGTGTGTGTGTATGTCAGTATGTATATATGTCTGTGTGTGTGTGTGTGTGTCAGTATGTATAGATGTCTGTGTGTGTGTATGTCAGTATGTATGTCTGTGTGTGTGTGTGTGTGTGTGTATGTCAGTATGCATGTATGTCAGTATGTATGTGTGTGTGTGTATGTCAGTATGTATTTATGTCAGTATGTATGTCTGTGTGTTTATGTCAGTATGTATATATGTCTGTGTGTGTCAGTATGTATGTGTGTATGTATGTATGTCAGTATGCATGTATGTCTGTGTGTGTATGTGTCTGTATGTATCTGTGTATGTATATATCTATTTGTGTGTGTGTGTATGTATCTGTGTATGTATATATCTATTTGTGTGTGTATGTATCTATGTATATTAGTATGTATGTGTATGTATTCCATTATGTATGTATGTCAGTATGTATTTATGTGTATGTATATCAGTTTGTATGTATGTCTGTTTGTCAGTATGTATGTGTGTGTGTCTGTTTGTCAGTATGTGTGTGTATCTGTATCTGTGTATGTGTGTGTCTGTTTCAGTATTTGTGTCTTTTAGTATCTGTATATCTTTCTGTGTGTGTGTCTGTGTCCGTTTGTGTCTGTGTGTGTGTCTATTCATGTGGGCGGAATTTGGAGGTGGGCACCCTGGGGCCTAGACCTTGAGCTGTGTTAGGGGGCCCACAATTTCTGATGGCGGCCCTGAAAATACCCCATGTTGGATCTTAACAGAAAAATAATAAGGGGGATTTCCTTTTTGGCTCTGTATCCATATATAGTTAATCCAGTAGGAAAGCTGGTCCACTGGTGAGGTTTGTGTGCAGAAACCAGAAAAACTAGGGGAACAGAAAGAACAAGCATTCACACTTCACATGCTGATAAACCAAGGCAAGAAAACGTACATTCAGAGAGCATTGGGATTACCTCTCGAAGGTCTTAAACATTCCATGCTATTATTCCAACTCTGAGAATCAATCAACCTGACTTCTCACCTGGATCACAGGAAGAAAACCTGAGAGTCTTGATCCCCAGACATGGAGAAGGGAGTATTAATATATCAATATGTAGCGTGAGGTGTTGAAAGTCTCATTGAAGGGCTGTTCATGGCTTCGTATTTTTATATTTTCTACATAAAATTATTATTTATTTATTTTGAACAACACAGTTTTATTCCTTTTGCTAGACTCAAAGAGTCTTCCTATTGAAGTTTGTATTGATCACTATTGACAGCAGTCCAGCGGGACTCGGTAAATAGGCGAGATGCCTTTTTAAGATTTAAGCATCCAGCACAAATGTAAGTGCTTACTAACATAATTCAATATGCTAAGCAAATGATAGAATTTGCCCTGTGTTTTGGTACAGGGTCCTAAGACGTCATGTGTGGAGGACCCTGTACTGAAATACTCTGCTGCGGCTGCTTTTAAATTCTTATAATTCCTTTGACCACAAGATATTTTTCAGTATGAAATAGAGGAGCCCTTAGTCTCTGCTCAGAGAAGGTGGTGAGAATTGTATCATCAATGGGGACCTCTAGTGTCCATTCCAGGAGAGAAGCTGCCAATTACACATTGGTGTTTTAGTCACATACACTTATTTTAAAAGAAAATACACGATAGAAGCATGTAATGTGTAATATGTAAATATAACACTGCAATCACATTTCAGAAACTTAAGAAGCATGTACTAAGCATTGATATAAAGTCTCTGTTCAGAAATCTGTATCCAAGAATGTAATCACTGCTTAGAACGTGTAAGTAAAAATCTGGAAAAAAAATGTTGAAGGCTTTTCAAAACTCTTCTATTTTGGTCTAAAATTTGCAACAATTCTCTATTTTTACCCAAACAGAAGCTAATTTTGAAGCTAATTCCTCAGGAAATAAATTGTCATGTGATGCCAGAACTGACACCTAGTGTGGGAGTGTGCAGAGGTCAGTGTCCCTAGTTATTGGTGGAACTGGTCTTGGATGGTGGAGACTTGCCTGGACTCTATGATGGTGAGATAGGACTATATCTCCTGGAGACATAGGTCAAGGCATTGCTTTTCAATGTGCACAGACATTCATAATCTACCCACTGTAAGTGTGACATAGAGTTTTTTTACTAGAAGTCTGACAGTCGTGGTTTTATTTCATGTCAAGATATTTTTGGAGATTTGCGAGAGCATTGACATTTTAGGTTAAAACCCCTGAATTTTAAAAATTCTTCAAGTCAGATTGTGTCCCATAATATCCACATGTCCAGTTTAATGAAAACAACCCTGCAGACCAAACATTAAGATGGGAATCTCAGAATACCAGGTCAAACCAGGATAGTTGGAGACGTGGCTATGAATATTTGCCATCTTAGAGAGGAGATCCAGGACATTCACACAGGTACCAATAAGCAGCATAGCAATATTTCATACATCATTAATTTACTTTAACTACTGCTGTCATATTCAATATCCTATAATTACATTTTAATTCCAAATTCACTCATTTTTTTAGCTTGACCAAATTTACCAAATTTGGATATGTTTTATTAAGTATTGGCCAAGCAGCCTCTTAAGGATTCATATTTAATCTTCTGGCTGAGGAAAGTAAGCGTAGGGGAGAGATCAATAGGAACTTGCATGATTGGTTCTCTAATTTCCCATTTGACTATGAATGCTACATACAGTCAGACACAATTGTTAATGCAGTGTGTGGCAGCCCTGAAGTTGATAATATCTGGTTTCCAAGTGTACAGATCAAACAGGTGGTGCCCAATGCTGGAACTAAAGACTGTAGAGTTAGTTACAAATTTCTAAGCTTTGATTTAGTGCCAGAGTCCTCTAAAGAGTCTTTAAGGTCCAGCAATGTTCCAGGAATTAGGGATTACCGAATCCTGTTCTCATAAAGTTACTGATACAGACGGGACCTGATCCTAGGCCGTTAGTTTAAGAGACAATAATTTAGAACATTTGCTATAAAGTAACATCTGTTAGAAAATCATTTTCTTGTGATTGGAGCACCCTGAATATATGTTAATTGTCAGACATCTTGTTAGGCCTTCTAGAATTCTTTCTGCGTAAGTGCATGCAATTGACTTTCAGGCAGAGCAAAGGTCAAGCATCACACTGATAACTCCATACTTAAACTATTTCCTTTTAAGGAAGTGGTTCTCAACTCAGATCTAGCAGTCTAAATATTTAGTGAATTCCAACATAAGTTATAATTGGAATATTATATAACACTGACCCAGAGAGGTTTCTTTTTTTTTTTTTTTTACAGAACTGGATTAAGATCCACCACTTTAAGACTCTACCTCTCTTTGCAGACTATAGAGTAACCTGAAAAATGAAAATAAATATATTTTAAAGAATGAGCTACAATTCCCAGCATGTAGGACCAAATATATCTCCAGTCCCCATCATTAATTTCCAGCAACTGAAGTATGAGAGCAGACACATTGTAGCTCAGACATAATTTAGAATGATCTTCCATTGCAGGGGAGAAGCATAAATTGACTGTCTTGGCTACAGTGGAACATATCAGGATTGAGGTTCATTGACTAACAGCACAATTATTTACCATCTTGAAATGAATCAATAATTCATAGCAAGTGCCTCAGAAAGTGTTAAATCTCACACCTTAAGCAACTGATGGTTGTTATGCCCATAAGACCGCATCTGTCACCCAACTAAGATAAACAATGCAATACATTAAGTTTTAATTTAGCTCTGTAACACATTGCTTCCACCTTGGCTCCATGCTCTTATTTGTTCTTAATATCCGGTTTTCCTTCATCTTTTTAGTTATATATGGATTTTGTGCAATTACATTGGATGAGACTGGCATCGAATGTTCATGGACCCAAGGTGGTAACATTGTAACAGGTGGTTAATGGAGTTTATCAAGTTGGAGACATAATTTCTGTTATGTGCTTTCTTTGCAAAATGTTACAGTGCCTCTAGGTCATTCTAACGGCTGGGAGAACAAGATAACTTGATTTAGCCTAACCCTGCCATCTATTTTGTGGTGTTGCCAAAAGGTGGGTAACAGAGACATTTGTGCTGTTAGATAAGGGCCCGTCATTTGACCCGGATTTCGGCATATTCAGAAAGTTCTTCAGTGGAGGTGTAGCTATCTTTTACATTCTTCTTTGTAAAGTCAATGTTTGCATAGTCACTGTCCACAGATGAAGGTTGGTGTCTCCTAAGTAGGATTCGTTCTGAAATGCTGAGAAACTGGTTCTAAAAAACAAAATAAAATCTGAGGTTAGAGAAGACAGGGTTAATTAGGAAGCCATGCTTGAGAACGTGAAGAAGGAAGTTGGCCAATCTGACTATAAACCCAAGGTAACCTGTCCTTGAGATCAGTTGCTAGTATGAAAGAATCTACTGATGCTGGAATTCTCTATATCTACTCCATGACTGCTAGAATCTGCCGATGCTGGAATGGTCTATATCTACTCCATGATTGCTAGAATCTGCTGATGCTGGAATACTCTATATCTACTCTATGACTGCTAGAATCTGCCGATGCTGGAATGCTCTATATCTACTCCGTGACTGCTAGAATCTGCCGATGCTGGAATACTCTATATCTACTCCATGACTGCGAGAATCTGCCGATGCTGGAATACTCTATATCTGCTCCATGACTGCTAGAATCTGCCGATGCTGGAATACTCTATATCTACTCCATGACTGCTAGAATCTGCCGATGCTGGAATACGCTATATCTCCTCCATGACTGCTAGAATCTGCTGATGCTGGAATACTCTATATCTACTCCATGACTGCTAGAATCTGCTGATGCTGGAATACTCTATATCTACTCCATGATTGCTAGAATCTGCCGATGCTGGAATACGCTATATCTCCTCCATGACTGCTAGAATTGGCCGATGCTGGAATACGCTATATCTCCTCCATGACTGCTAGAATCTGCTGATGCTGGAATACTCTATATCTACTCCATGACTGCTAGAATCTGCTGATGCTGGAATACTCTATATCTACTCCATGACTGCTAGAATCTGCTGATGCTGGAATACTCTATATCTACTCCATGACTGCTAGAATCTGCCGATGCTGGAATACTCTATATCTACTCCATGACTGCTAGAATCTGCCGATGCTGGAATGCTCTATATCTACTCCATGACTGCTAGAATCTGCTGATGCTGGAATGCTCTATATCTACTCCATGACTGCTAGAATCTGCCGATGCTGGAATACTCTATATCTACTCCATGACTGCTTGAATCTGCCGATGCTGGAATACTCTATATCTACTCCATGACTGCTAGAATCTGCTGATGCTGGAATACGCTATATCTACTCCATGACTGCTAGAATCTGCCGATGCTGGAATACTCTATATCTACTCCATGACTGCTAGAATCTGCCGATGCTGGAATACTCTATATCTACTCCACGACTGCTAGAATCTGCTGATGCTGGAATACTCTATATCTACTCCATGACTGCTAGAATCTGCTGATGCTGGAATGCTCTATATCTACTCCATGACTGCTAGAATCTGCCGATGCTGGAATACTCTATATCTACTCCATGACTGCTTGAATCTGCCGATGCTGGAATACTCTATATCTACTCCATGACTGCTAGAATCTGCTGATGCTGGAATACTCTATATCTACTCCATACGCTATGCTATCTACTCCATGACTGCTGATGCTGGAATACTCTATATCTACTCCATGACTGCTAGAATCTGCTGATGCTGGAATACTCTATATCTACTCCATGACTGCTAGAATCTGCCGATGCTGGAATACTCTATATCTACTCCATGACTGCTAGAATCTGCGATGCTGGAATACTCTATATCTACTCCATGACTGCTAGAATCTGCCGATGCTGGAATACTCTATATCTACTCCATGACTGCTAGAATCTGCTGATGGTGGAATTCTCTATATCTACTCCATGACTGCTAGAATTGGCCGATGCTGGAATACTCTATATCTACTCCATGATTGCTTTCAAAGCAATAAGATTAATGAGGGACATTCTATGTGTCTCTGTCTATGTTTTTGTAATAAGTGTCGATAAGAGTATAATTGGGTATATAAATAGTAATCAGCGAGAAATACTTTTTCATTTCAGCAGAAAAATGAATCAGGTTTTGCTTTATTTTTGTATATTTTGCTATTTTCTTTTAACCCACATAGGCTCAAAAGTGGCATCATGACCAGCTAGTAAAGAGATTGATTCCCTAAAACCCGAGCTAAATCAATGAATGTTTAATTAGCTCGAACCCATATTGCTAACTTGATGGTGGCTCTTTTCCTTTGAAACAGTCTGCCTACCGCCATCAAACTCTCCCCTAGTCTTCAATCATTTAAAAGGTTCCTCAAAACCCATCTCTTCAGAAAAGCTAGTGGCTTCACAGAGTAACTTCAACCTCACATACCTGTCCCTTGCTCTTCGCAAAGACTCTCGGTTTGTTTAATGTGTTATTTTAACAAACTATCAGAGCACACTCATAGACATAATTAAACCAAAGAAACATTGTGGAGCTACAAAAACAGTAAAACATGCAGAAAAAAGCCAGACTATTTAACTACAACCACGTGCCACAAGACATTTACAGAGAGACCACAGAACAACAGCCACATTACAAACCTTTAACAAGATAGCAACATACAATGCAAGATGGCTGGAGACATTCAGAATTGGGAACGTGACAGAGTAACTTGTGTATCGAGAAACTACTAAAAACTATTTTTTATGTTTGTAACTTTCCCAAACAGATGGCGGTCCTATTACTAATTATTGAAATTTCAGCCAATGGGCTTTAATAATTCAGGAAACAAATATCTCTCTGAAGTTAGAAGAAGATTTATTATTTTCCTGAAATCATCAGAAAAAAAAAACTAATGTTATCTAATCTTACAGAGTACCGTGATCATTGCTATAATTAAATGTTTATATATATATACATATACCTGGGGGATCAATGATAACTAAATTTCACAGATTCATTCACCCAGCTATTTTCACATTTTGGAGTTTATTTATTACGCAGTGAGTTATGGTGGTTTTTTTAATCAGATGCTATGGCATTCATGTTTTCAGCCTAGTGCAGTTGGGGTACAGTGCCCCCCTGAGGTGTAACTTATGTGAGAGACAGCAAGTTTCCAGGCAATAATTGCACCAGTATTGGTTCAAGAACGTTAAAGGAGCAAAAATGCATAATCTGAACTAAATCTTAATATAAATAAAGATCTCAACTCAATTTATTGTAAATAGAAAATAAAATGAAGTCTCCTCAACCACTCTTGTCATGTTCCCAAATCTGGTTATTATTCCAGCATACAAAGGATTTATTTAAAATCAAAAGACAAAAAGAGCTTGATACATACGTGGCAGATCACTTCCTCTCCAGTGAGCAGATCTCTCCTGACTATTAAAGAAGGAAGATAGTCACTAACAATGGGGGTTCCCAGCCTTCCACCATAGTTATTGAGGGGATAAACTCATCCTCTGATCACTAGGTGATCTGTTATTGTATGTGAATACTATTCAGATATTGGAGCGGATAATGTGTGTCCCAGAATCCTGGAGGGGATCACTAGGTAATCTGTTATTCTATGTGAATACTCAGGGCCGGCGCTACCTGTTAGGCGGACTAGGCAGCCGCCTAGGGCGCCACTTAGGAAGGGGCGCCGCCAGGAGCGCCGCCCCCCCATGCTGCAGCCGCCCGAGCGCTCTGTAGAGAGCCTCAGGCGGCTGCAGTTTTACCCAGGCACTGCGTCCATGAGGGCGGACCACACCGCCCGGGCGCAGCCTGAGGAGAGGGGCTGACAGGAGGGAAGCGCTCAGCACTCCCTCCTGTCACTCCCTCTCTGTAGCGTGGCCGAGCCCTGCATCATGATGGTCCGCGGGTACAGGGAGCATCTGTCTCCTGTACCCGGCCTGACTAACAGGAAGTCCGGCACACAGTTAGTCCGCCAGACTGGGAGTATCTCAGAAGAGGAATCAGAAATTGCTACCTAGTACCACTGCAGGATTGTCTATACTGGGCTCAGGCACACGCATACAACACTTTCCTGGCCGTTTTGTCCTCTGGTATCCCACTTGTGGAGACACCAGAGACAATTTAAAAGCAAACACAGTGCAAGCATGTTATTACATTTGCTTGCGCTGCGCAGAACAAATACAGGGCCTTTTTCTAATGCCTGAGCTCTTCAGCGGGGCTCTGCGCATTGAACCAACATGCTCACTTTGAGAGGGGGCGTGCTTGTCATTAGTGATGACAAGACACACCCTATCTGGCCCCGCCCCCTTCTTGGGGGGCCGCTCTAATTGAAAAATGCCCGGGCCTAATTTTTTTCCCAGTCCGGCCCTGCCTGTGACTATGGCCCCTGTAATAGACTTTGTTTAAAAACACTATGTGTGCCTGTTGGGACTTGTAACAGGAACACTTCAAACTCCCGAAGCGGCACTTCGAACTCCCGAACTCTCAAAGCCATTTGAAGTGGCCTTCAAAAACGTGGCAGCGGCCATCTTGTTTTGTCGAACGCATCCAGCGGTGTTTGGTCGTCAAGTGTATAGAACTAAAATGTTTGGCTGTTCGAACGGGAGTCGAACGGTGTTCGGTAAAGAAAAACTCCCGAACAAGTGACATACACTGACTGTACTCACGAATGGCTACGTTCGGTATTTTAAACTTTACTTCGAATTCCCGAAATAGACTGACCGCACAGACTGATTCTCTGGAACTGTTTTGGGCATGGGACCATGTGTCCAGTCGGTCAAAATGTGACTTCCAGGAAATTCCTGAACTCCTGAACTGATCTGGGCCATTTTTGGATATGTTGGTCATCCAGATCAAGGCTATCAGGGGATGTAATTTTTGTGGGGGATTTGTGTGTTTAAAGTTATTTTGTTTTTTTTATATAAAAATGTATGTTTTCTGTGCCTGGAGATAATTGAGTTTAATACAGTGCTTGACTCAATTATATCCCAGGCACAGAGGATGGATTATCTTGTTTTATGTGGGAGTGTCCTGGACCTGACAGCCAATGTAATCGTGTGTATGTTTACCTGAGAGCCGATGTAATTGTCTACTCTCAGGTCCAGGGGGGCTGTGCCGCTTGCATATAAGGCCAGTTGTGGCTACCAATAAAAGAGTATCAGTTTATCCTCAACACAGATCCTCGTCTTATAGCCATAATCCCTGCTTCTGAAATTGTTCTGGATTGCTATAATCACTAGCTTTTGTAAGAGCTACAGTGCTATACTCTCTTGGAGGGGAGGTCTTCTCACTGGGAGCTGGATCCGGGAGTTTGGTACAGGGTGAGAAGGGACGGCGAGACCCCAGCCAGGTTGCGGCAGCTAAGGGGGAGGGCCCTGGGAGGGGACATTGTCGTTGTGTGTGATCCACCCCTTGCATGGGGAAAGTATAAAGCCGAGTGTGGCTAATAAAGTTGTTCTTGTACCCCCCAGGACTGTTTGTCATCCAGTTATTGGGTGTGAAATGGGTCTCTCTGGGTTGTAGCTGATTCCCTTCCAGGGAAATGTGGCTGAGCAAGGATAATGGGTCGGGTTGTCGGCAGGCCCACTACATAAACCATCCATGGACAGGTGCCTATCAGCAGGATTCTACTCGGCCTAATGAAAAATCTGGCCCTGAAAGTCAGCAAGGTAAGTACACAATATGTAATCTACCCATGCAATTAAGAGGAGAAAAAGTCCCATTACACCCTCTTACCAGGTTCTTTGTGATTTAACATCTAATATACCATATAATATGTATACACAGTGATGGGGGAAAGTATTTGATCCCCTGCTGATTTTTGACAACTGACAAAGAAATTGTCAGTCTGTAATTTTAATGGTAGGTGTATTTTTTAACAGTGAGAGATAGAATAACAAAAAATAAATTGTGGCAAAAGTAACCTTGTACTTGGAGGTGCCTGCTTGCCAGTCTCCTGCCCACAGACTATGGGCCCTGCAGGGAAACCTGTAAAAGACTACCGAACTTGACCAACTGTAACACTGATTTCCCTGTGTTTTGGGCATAGGACCATGTGCACGGTCGGTCAAAACTATGACTTCCAGGAAATTCCTGAACCCCTGAACCGATCTGGGTGATTGTTGGATATGTTGTTCACCCAGATCGGGGCTATCAGGGTATGTAACTTTTATGGGGTTTCATAAAATTGTATGTTTTTCTGTTCTTGGAGCTAATTGAGTTAGATTAGTACAGTTCCTGATTCAATTATCTCCCAAGTACAGAGGATGGATTCTATCGTTTGTGTATGGGAGTGTCTCACTGTATGACTCTGTTTTTATTGATTTATTCACTTTGTGTCCCTGTGCCCAACAAGGTCTACCTGGGTGTCACCTTTGTTGGGAAACTTGCATAAAAGGCCAGTGTGCCTCCATTAAAAGTCTGTTCCTGCTTACCCTTAACATAGAGTCTCATCTCATGTGTGGGGGAAACGGCTGTATTTATCCTGGGGATTGCTATATCACTATAGTTCCCAGGAGTTATAATCACTAGCTCTTATAAGAGCTGTTCCTGCAATGCTCTCTGGGAGTAGAAGAGGTCTGCCCACTGGAAGCTGGATCCTGAAGACCCCAGTGCAGCTGTGTAATGGCACCCCCAGGCATAAATGGGTTAAACCGCCGTTTAGGAGATCTTCCCCTTCCAGAGATACAGGCACAGCTACTGCAGAACACCAAACTCCCGAACCGCAAATAAGGTTATGCTCTAAACTCCCGAACTGCATACAATATAGCACTCCAAACTCCTGGAACCTCACGAATAGCTGCTAGCAGACAAATAGGAAAAGCACCCAAGCGGCTTACACTCCTAGCAATCAGTCTCTATCAGCAGTATAAGACAAGGCTCCGTGTTGAGGGTCAAGCAGTGGTCTGTTTAATGAGGGCTACCTGCCCAGTATTTATGCAGGTCTCCCACCTGGTGGACACTCCCCTAGGGGACCAGATGGAAGACTGTGAAAAAGGACATTGTAGCAACCAATCACAGGGTACACACTTAGCCATTCCCCTTTCTTACCCAGCACCCTCTGCTCTGCTCAGGGAAATAATTGTGAAGTAATTCAATTATCTCCCAGGACAGAGCCTAAACGCCATTTTAGATGACAATAACAAAAAGACATAAAAATACAGAACTGTTATATTTTACAACATTTTACAGGCATTCAACATGTCCCCAGATAGCTAGGATCTGAGTGCACCAAAGTACCGAATAGCGCTCAGATTCTATGCACACAGTT